AAAATCAATGTATTTTTGTAATTATAATTTATTTCAGGGTTATAATAATTTTTTCATTATAATTTTTTATTTTTCAACCCAAAACGACATCATTTTAAGAGTGAATATAAATAATTTATCTACGTTCACTATAGTATATTAAAGCCTATATAATATATAATGAACTATGACATCAACTTATTAGATGCTAGAATTTTATTAATAGAATTTCATCGAGCATTACAGTGAACAATTTATAAAAGGATAAATGAAATATTTTGTTACATTATGCAACATGAATTTCCTATAACACACAGTTAAAAAGAGAGAGGAAAGAGAAAAATCAAATAATGGGCCCATATGTAATTGTGTGCGCAGAACATTTGTATTACACTACTTAACATAACATTTCATTTACCCTATATAAAAATCACGAGTCCATATAATTTTGATAAGTGCAACTAGCTGAACGGTGAGCGATCAACATCACACAAAGCACAATGTTGGCTTTGTAAATATATAAATATGATTACTTATTTTTTTTCGGAAACTATATAAATAACATTATTTGATAGAGTAGTAGTACTTGCACTCCCAAATCTTGATAGAGTTGATGAACATCAACTGAAGTTGTTGGCTTATGAATTAGAGATTGAAAATATTGGACCAATCACCAATATGCTCAGAAAAATTTTATTGTACTTGTTTTATACCAATAAAACCTGCAAATAAGTGTTGAGTGAATCATCTTTCATTTGGAACCTGACCATAGTACCGTGTTTTTAAGAGATACGATTAAGTCTTTTAAAGTTAATAACATTAAACTTAAAAAAATAATTAAAGAAAGATGAAAATAATTAAAAATTCCAAGTTACATGTCTATAAAAATATCTCCGTCTAGGAAATTAATTCCCTGGCCCCCTCTCTTCTCTCTCCACCCCTCTCTCTCTCTGACGGTGTATTGATCCGAAAACATTACGTATTTGCTCGTTAGTCGGACATTTCGCACAAGTCTTCTAATGACCAAATCAAAATACGTTGACTTAACTACAAAAAAAAACGTTGACTTTCCAAGCTTAGTCTAGTGAATAAGATCAAGCTGGTATCTGATCAATGATATAATGACTATTAAGAAGGAATTCAATTATATGATAAATATTAAGCCAGTATATTAGAGTATAAAATGAAATCGGTTGGGTATCACGTCTGGGTTCTATCCGGCCCATATACGCATTATATTAGGCCGAATATAACTCCGTTTATAGTTTATACTAGTTAGGTTAAACAGATTAGTTTAATTTGGCTTGAAGGATACCACTCATGCAAAGGTGAGACTTGGATAGGACTAGGTTTGGGCCGGGTCTGAGCCTCGTTTAGCCCACATAGTACATGGACAACTTCTTTTTTTGGTAATTTTTTTTATAAAATAAATGTACTATTATTAAAACCTTTTAAATAAATGAATGATTTTACTACTTTTAACTTATTTAATAATTACTTTCATTGTTTTTGATAATATTAAATTGATTCTATGTTGCTAAAAGGTCCACATTCCTTGCTCATTTGCTTTTAGTCATTTTACAACATTAGTTAGGATACTAATCATTGGACTGGCTATTTAATATTATAAAGTATAATAGGGAGACCTACATTTAAAATTGATGATTATACAATTTAATTTAATTTTAAATTTATATATATGATATTATATTTATTTTAACATGTCAAGAAAAAAATTTAAAACATGAAAAACCTTTATAATTATTACTCTGTCTTTAAAAAAAAAAAATCAAACTCAATCTTAACAATTTTTCTCTTAAGTCCCAAAAAAAATTATTTTGACAAAAAATAAAAATACTTTCGTCTATTAATTTAATTATAGGAGAGGTTGTACTTACAACCACTATTCCCTTGCAACCTCACCATCAATTTTATTAACATTCGATCAAAATCAAATTAATGATTATAAAATAACATTAAATGAGAACCGTTGAATTGATTTTAATTAAATAATAATGAAGATAAAATTACTTTTTGTTTGCAGGAGAAATATTAAACTCATTAAACTAAATATTTTTTCAAGAACTTATGAAATAATACCTCTGATGTACGATACTCACACGTGACAGCTTAATTAGTTCTAAAAAATCTTAAATCTCAACATATTAAGACACATTTTGATATTAAATAATATTAATTTATATAGTGTATATTATATTTAATATTCAATAATTTAACAAAAAATGGAGCTAAATTTATAATACCAATTAATTTTGCAAAGAAACATAATATATCACAAATATTTATATTAAGCTCATTAAAATGATAATCGTAATCTAACGAATCTAATTGTGGAAACTAAAAACGTAACTTTTGAACCTTTTTTGAGTATTTGTAACGTGTGTTGGAATTTCAGAAAATATCGGACACAATTAATCAGATTTTTTGAAGTGTCGGGACATCATAGAATAAGACTATATGAAAATAAAGTTTATAAATAAATTTACTTGAATTGTATTTTTTAATATATATTTTCTATTTCATATCAATCTATATAGTAATAAAGTACGTGTTTTTTTGGGGCCGTAAGCCCTTTTGTTTACCGGAAAAAAAGTACGTTTTTTTTTTAATTTATTCAAAATCAATCTTTTTTTTTTCTAATTGTTTAGAATATTTAAATTTTTTTTAAAGAAATAAGGTTGAAAATGTGAAAAGTTAAAAAAAAAACGAAGAAGTAAAATGAAAAGTTAATAAAAAAACTTAAAATAATTAAAAAATATGATGTAATAAAATCGATAAAATAAATTTTATATTGTATATAGATAAAAGGGAAGATACAAAAAGGAAAGAATAAATTATAAAACAGTAATATATATTTATAATGATATTAAAAATTAAATTATAATTAAATAAAATATAAATCATAAAATATCTCATTTTATTTAGGGATTTAATATTTTTTTTGTCACAAAAGATAAGATTATTTCTTATAATCCTAAAATTACATTGTTTTGAGATTTGAAAAAAAAAATACATGATATATATATTTTTTAACTATATGTCTTATATTTCCCCCAAATTCTAAAAAGATATTGTACGTCATTTTGGGATTTACAAAAGATAATTTTATATATTGTGAAAAGTATTTTTTTATTTTATTTAAATATTTATCAAATTGGTATACCTTGACTATTTTTTCCATTTTGATTACTTTTAACTATGCGGATAGCACAAACATAACACATGTTATTATCATGTGGCTAACATGTGTCACGATACATGCATGCATAATCAAAAAAATGGTCAAATTATATCACCTTTATAAATAATTTTTAAATTATATTATTTTAATAGAAAAATTTAGTGTATTTCATTTTGATGAAGAATTTATATTCTAAAAACTAATTTACAATTTCCTATTTTGAGCTTGACATTTCTGATTAAGAGGGAACAAACTCTTCCACACAAAAAAAGGAAACAAACTCCTTATTACTTAAGATTGATTTGTTTTTACAATCGAATGATAAATAGATATCATTATTCAACTACGAGAGCGATAAGTAAAATCAGTGAATAGGCTAAGGCAACAAATGAAAACCAATAAATAAAATATGAAATTTGTAATTAAAAGGGTAGTCAGGATCAATTTCGCCTAAACGACCATCACCGATATAATTTAAAAAATCTATTCAATCAATTCTGAATTGATTAATTAAAGTCATCGAAATTAGATAAGATTCGATTTCTTATATCTTAATTTTTCCCAGAAAAAGATAAAATTAATATCTTAATATTTTGTCAATTAGATAAAATCTTAAGATTTCTGCATTGTCAAAAGTTTGTATAGCATATATGGTTGATTAACAAAAATATGGATATTGTGTGACGTGATGCAATTAAATTTCGCATGAATTTCACGTTACAGCATATATGATTGATTAACAAAAATATGGAAATTGTGTGATGTGATGCAATTAAATTTCGCGTGAATTTCACGTTATACACGGGTTAATTGATTGCCAAATAAAAGAATATTCGAGTGTGAACAATGAACACGGAAAGAGAGATGATAGATAGAGTTAAACATTAAAGCTTGTAAAGAAAGAATATGGTTCATTTGACGGGAATATACGACAATACACCAGAGTTTGGCATAAAATTGGGCATCCCTTGTTGCCCACTAAAAGACGTTTTTTCCTTTCTCTAAGTCTAATTTTAAGATCGATACCGCGTGCGACTGCAGTATGGTAATTGCGAGAGGGAAGAGGAAAACAGAAATAGAACTCTTTGGAGATAAGAATGGTAAATAATTGACACGTACAACGTATCACGGTTAGAAATTTCAGTTGCTCTTCTCTACCTCATACACCTGCGAAAGGAAGTTTCAATTCTTTTTTGTTCATACGCATGTAAAACGTATGAGATCAAAACTTCGACCTTTAGCAATGTAAGGACCATTCAATGACGCGTCATACGATTAGACGGACAAAAGTATTGAGTTTGCCTTCTAGTCCCTATAAGATAAAATAAAATAACAATAATAATGCAAGGATAAGTAATTCCACGTTTCGTTCTCATCACAGCGTGTAAAAGGGAGGACAAGGCCGAACCTTCGTTCTTATCCGCACACCAAATACGAAACCTCCTCTACCTTCCTCCCATTCCATGTCATCAACCGGGGCCCAGCTACTAAGTTATTGTTGAATTGAATCACTACTAGCTCACAGCAATCTCAATCATTAAGATAATAAGTTTTTAGTAGAAGGGGGACCCTAGCTTTCTGGTGTGTACTATTCAAACAGTAAAACCGCCCGTCACGCGCGCACACATAAAGAAAGAAACATGCGCAAGTGACGTCAACAAACAAAACTCAAACCAAGAGGCACTGCCGTTATTGCAGCACCGATCACGCGGATCTGCTGTTTCGTGATGGCGATTCCACGTCCTAATACTCAATCATTCATTACAATTACGCATGGATATGAATATGATAAAGACAAGTTAAGATAGATTTCCACCAATAAAAATAAATAAATTGAATTGAATAAGCACTACCAAATTAAAATTTAGAATCTAAAACCAACGAATTAACAAGATCCAAATAGTATGTACCGTAACAAATTAATACTAAACAACTGAAAAAAAAAAAGTAAAAAAAATAATCACTGATTAATTTGGAATTCATCAGTAGTGAGGGAATTCAATCTTGGGCTTCTTCACTGGTAGAGGGCTGGAGACCTCGTCGTCCACGAAGAACTTGGTTGAGAAGTCCGGAAAAGCCGGAAGGTTGAGATCGAAGTCGCGGGGGTGGCTGTGGGTCCCAGTGTGGGTGGACCCAACACCTTCCGAGGCAGTGACGGCGCTGTTACTACCTCCTTCGTAGTGGCAACGCTTGTGTCCTCCCAAGGCCTGTCCCGTGGGGAAACACTTGTGGCAGATGGAACACTCGTGGGTCTTACCTCCGCCGTTGGATGCGGAACTGGTTGTCACGGCGGAGGAGGTTGACTGATCTTCCGCAGCGCCGCCGCCAGCGAGTTTCCGGTGGCTGGCCTTGTGCCCACCGAGTGCTTGATAAGAGGAAAACGCTTTGTTGCAAACAGAGCATTTATAACTGAGCTTGGTGTTGGCGGTGGCGGTGGCGGTGACTTGCGGCGCCGACTCATGATCAGATAGAGCAGGCTTGGCGGTGGATACAGTTCCTCCGCTGTTGCCGCCGCGAGCGAGCATGATAAGGCAGAGAGCGAGGTACTCTTCCTCTGAAGGCTGGTGATCCATTCGGGTACGCTTCGAACGTTTTCGCTTGGCCCAGGGTGCCTCTAAGTAGCGGAGATTGACTTCTTCAAAGGGGGTATTGAAGGATGGGGTGGCGGTGGTGGGAGATTTGAGAGCTTCGAGAGCCATCTAATATGGGTAATCGACACGGAACTTGAGATAAAAAAAACGTGGGAAAGAAAGGGCGAGGTGCTTATGCTTCTTGTGTTGTGGTTGGAGGTGAAGTGTGACACTGTAAAAAGGGTGTGATGTGTTTATAAAGAGGTGAGAGTTTGAGGGAAGTTGCGTGAAAGTAGGCGCAGCGCCCAATTAAAAATAGAAACTATTATTATTGATTTAAAAATAAAAAATAAATAAATTCACAGAGAGAATACAGTTGGAGTATAATGGAGCACGTGTTTCAGTCATGAGAATTGTTTTCTCGGTCAATTAAAAAAAAAGACTTTTTAATATATCAATTTTTTATTTTATTTTTTTGCGAGTAAGAATTAGATAAATAGAAGAACTGACAAGACTAAGCGCAAGCGAATTAAGGAAAACGGGTCAAGTTCAGAGTTTCAAAAGTCAAAATCAGCGAAAAGTAAAAAAAGGAACTTTATTTATTAATTTTCTTTTTACTCTTTTTTATTTAAATTAAGAGAGCTATGGTCCAGATTAGAGTTCGTCCACAGCAGCCAGCAGGTAGGGCAGTGCAATTAGCCACCACCAACGACTTTTCTTAGTCAATGGGGGCTGACATTTGTAAATGAGCACTGTTTGACAACTTGGAAAGGGGTTCATTCATCCATCATTCAGTGAATGTACTACAATTTGCATCCCAAATTACAAGAAAATTCAAATAAAATAAAATGGGGGCAATGTCGTATCGCCTATGTTAGTTACGGGGTTGGAATTAGGGACAGGAAGGAAGAAAGGGAATCATAATCATTAATCAATCAGCCAGATCACATCGAAGAATAGAAACTAACCAGTGTTAACAGCAAGTGGAGTGGGTGTGTCATGTGTGGAGTGGGATATTACATTGATTTACCACTAATCTATTATATCGGTTCAAGAATGCAGAATTATTAAAAAAATAAAATTAGTGCAACTGACACGAATGGGTAAATTTCGAGTTTGTAACTATATAAATATAAGCGATAAATAAATTATTAACATAGATTTGTTCATGATTTTAAAGCAGTGTTTTAAAATTTCACTCCATCCCCGGGTTGACCTGGGTCAACCCTAACCCTTCCCCTCTGATGGTTGGGTCACAAGTTAGACCCTATATGCACATCGACCCCTCCAATCCCCAAAACCTAGCCGAGTTTCAGTGACTCCCGGGTCAGAGGAGTCAATGCATGTTTTTTTTTTTTTTTTTTAAGAAAATTTCATGAAATAACGTCGTTTTATTAAAAAAATAAAATAAAAATACTTGCAAACCTAAATTTAATCGTTATCTTCTCTCCCACCGACCTAGACTTGTGGTATCTTGATACTTTGATATCATTAGAATATGAGTTTTGTACTTTGGTATCTTGATACTTTAATTAGTTTGTATACTATTGACTTGTGGCTATAATTGGTGAATTATATTAAGTATATTTTGAATTTTTGATGATTGGTGATTTTTTTTTTAATATTTTCATATAGGATATAAATATTTATATTTTTTTAATATATAAAACCGGGTCAGTATAGTGACCCCGTGACCCCCGGTTGTACCCGTGACCCCTGACCTCGGCCGGGTCGATGACCGAGCCAGGTTTTTAAACACTGTGTTAAAGATTCTTTAGTAGTCTCATTATGTTTGTTTAAGACAATTGATTACTAATTGTGAACAAAATTATATTTTTTATATTAGGAAACAAATAAATCAAATTCTCAATCAAATTTTAATCAGTAAAAATCAAATCATAGATGTATGGAGATTCCAAAGCTCAATTTCGATAGCAAATAATAGATTTAATTATTCTATAGTGTCAAGATGAATAAATCGGAAATTAATGCTTACAGTCAACTTTGAGCTTATTTAGTATGTTTCTTAATCTTTACAATTGTAATTTCCAATTTTCGTAATTAATGAACATAAATTTAGATGACTAGAATGATATTATCAAGAATTTTGAAAGTTATTTTCAAATTTTTCCTAATATAAATTTTTAACTTTCAAAATAAAAAATTTGTCTACATAAGTAATTTATTATATGCAAAAGTTTTATCCCTGTAATTAAGTTCCTACATTTTATTTTTGTATATAAGTTAATTTTATAAAATTTGTAAAATTAAACAATAATTTGTCTACCCAAAAAAAAATTAATAAGTTAATTTTTTTTTTGAGTTAAAGTTTGATTTTTATGTAATGTGTTTTTCTCTAAACTAACTAATAATAACTACTAACCTGATACGTTAAATGCTTATGTATGCTGTCGTCATGTGCTCCACATGCACCGCCCAATTCTTCTTCCTTCCAACTTATTTCGATTACTGCAATCTAGCCACATCATTGAACTCAGCTAGCTAGTATTGTTACAATGTAAATAAATATATAAAATTTTATAAATAAAAAATAAAAATAAAAAGAGAAATTATATTCTCATATTATATGATATTACATATCTATTTCTCATTATGTACTTATATCGAATAATATGTCATTTCTTTTTTTTAAATCAGTGGGCTCACTTTATTTATATCAATAAGATAAAAAAATTTCTCTTATAATCCCAAAAAAATAAAAACTGTCAAAGTTTCTGTTCCAAAGGAAGATGGGGGATATTTTGACTACCAAACGTGTCTACTACCACCTTACTACCTATCAAATCACCATTGGATCAAAGAGAGAGAATGTTAAAAAGTTTTTGAAGAGAGAGAAAATGTTAATTCAATGGTGATTAGATAGGTAGTAAGGTGGTAGTGGAAACTTTTGGTAGTCAAAATATCCTCCCTCCCAAAGGAAACCGACATTATATTTAATAGTCATGCAAGCACAATGGATTGCGTAATGAAAGTGAATCTTGTCATATGAGATAAATGTGAGGGGATAATATTAAGGTACAAATCAATGATAAGAAAATGTAGAAAAATAAAGGGTGAAAATATTATTGATTTGTATTTAGATGGTTGAGAATACTTGAGATTCTTTCGTATGATCTTGTCTTACACAAATGAATTTATTCCTCTGATGTTAATAATTCCAGTCTAATTTCATAAAAGACAACAAATTAACTAATTTGTTAGGAATTTCAAAACTTGAAAAACTAATTACATATATATATATATGGAAAAATGTTTCTGCAGTTAATGTAGATAAGTTATCTGCATTTATTTCCAAAACGACGTCGGTTTGGTATTGAAATCTTAAAAAATTATAAATATAAAGACTATTATAACCCGAAATAAATTTAAATTACAAAAACACAATGATTTTCGCCCCAAAACGATGTCGTATTGGGCTTACTGCAGATAACTTATCTGCAATAACTGCAGAAAAAGCGAACCCATATATATATATATATATGTGTGGTTTCAATTTTCTCTTGCGGTAGGAGAAGATTTTCTCATGTTACAGACCCATCTTATGTGGGGCCCACATTTATTAAAAATAAAAATAAAAACAAAAGAAAATATTGCACGAAAATCTAAGGGTCACTAGTAGGAGAAAACAACTCTCCTACGATATGAGAAAATGTTTTCACTATATATATAAGAAAAAATATTTCTCCAGTCACTGGGGATAAATTTATCTCCAATGAGCTCAAAACGACGTCATTTTGGGTTGTAAAATTAAAAAATTATAATGATAAAGACTAATATAACCTTGCAATATATTATAATTACAAAAACTTCTTGATTTCTGTCCCAAAATGACGTCGTTTTGGGCTCACCGGAGATAACTTATCTCCATTGACTAGAGAAATCCTTTACCCATATATATATATATATATATATATATATATATATATATATATATATATATATATATATATCGGGGTTTACATTTCTCCAGCTGTTGTATGTACAACAATCAAAAACTTACCATATATATACGTGAAAGCATTAAATGCAGGGAATCATAACCATACAAAAGATGAAAGCATTAAATGTGGAGAATCATAACCATACACCTGTCGTTGCTGTACGTAAAGCGGCTGCAAAAATAATTTTACCATATATAAATAAGGGTTATATTTATCTTATGTTGTAGAAAAATAGTTATCTCATGTTATAAAAATAAAATTACAAGTGAGACCCACATATAAGAGGAGAGGGAAAAAATAGATGTGAGACCCACCTTCATTTTTTGTGTGTTTAGAAAGAGTGTTTATTTTACGTAACATACGATAAATATAACCTTATAAATAAAGAAAAAAATATTTATATTCTCATTATAGAAATATTTTCTCTCTTGCAATTATATAAAATAAGTGGATTTCATTATAAAAAGAAATAGAAAAAGAATCTTACGTACGCACCCTTATATATGTGTCTATAGAATTTAACTTTATATCAAGCTTATAAGAGAAATATTAAACCGTAAATTATTTAAAAATAAATAAAATATACTTTAATTAACTGAGTTGCTTATTTACATATTTCTTGTTTCATTTTGAATATAATAAAAAATTAGCACAATACCCCCAACAAAGAGGAACAATAATAGTTTTGCTTTTTATTTGTTGATGGCCTCTTCCAACCACTAAATAATAAAAATACAAGACATTATAATTATATGGAGAACATTTATATTTAATGTTTTTTTATAATATTAAAAAAAATACGTGATCTGTATAAACATTTTTCCAGTTTATTTTACTTATATGATTTTTTCAGTTGTCTTTTCATAGAAAACTTCCTTATTTGTTTTTTCTAATTACAATTGAATTGAGCTGATAAATGGAAACGGGTCTGCTGAATTATATAAGTGAAGTAACTGAAATTCATGTTTTTATAATGGAAAATATAACATATAATAATTAATTTCCTCTGCGTAGATACCACAGTTAGGGGTGTAAATAGACTAGGCTAAGCTAGGTTAGACTTTGGTTTAATTAGGTCAAACTTGTGTAAAAAATATTGGGTCTAATCTGGCCTGTTAGTCTGTATCGACTTCAAATTACAAGTCTGACCTTACCTATATTTAAAAATTAAAAGTCTTGACCTAAGACTGTTATCCTGTTTAAACCTATTAAACATTCAACAATTAAAAGAATAACTAAAATAATATT